CTCACCGTTCTTCTTTAGCACAAAAGAAATGACCGTCAATTTAAAGTCATTTCTTACCAATCCCCATAGTTTGAACAACTATAAAAATCTATCCCATACTGCAATTTCCTAAACTAGTTTATTTCCTCTCTTACTTATCTCACTTATATAAACAAAGCTCATATCTGAAAATGAAAATTTCCTCTCTGAATCTCAGTTTTGATCTCAGATTTTGCCCACTGCGAATGACTTAGCCGCAGTACCAACCTATCATCGATCAAATGGTGTAATTTCTGTTGGTGTCCCAGTGCTTTCAATTAAAGATTTGTCTCGAGATTGGTACATGCTGTTTTTCAGATTGTTTCTCTGCAGTTTAACTAAAATCGCGTTCTTCATTGTGACACTGAAACTTTTATTTCTCCCTTAGTGTTATTTCCTAGTAAACTGCTACCATTTTTTTCTTTGGAATAATTATTAGTTTTCAAAATACTTTGCCCTACATCATATACTGCTCCTTCCAATCAAAATATTTTTACAATTAGCTGTGAATTACTATGTAATAAAACATCCTTTATGCTACTGTTTGATATTCAACACTGATTGGTGAATCTCTGCTAAAAAACAAAACAAAATAAAAAATAAAATCAACATTTGAATGTAATTATTAGTAACCTACAGAAAAAATCCACATATATGAATTCACTTGCTCACCAAGCTTGCATGAGACATTTCTTACTTCCATTCCCTGCAGCCTGAGCAGGCTGGAACTGAGGGGGAGGCCAGAGACAAAAGGGCAGGCTCACAGGCAGCGTGGCCAAGTCCAACCAGATCATCAGGTCCATGGTCAGGCCAGGCAGCCTGCGGGCTGATGTTGGGTCCTGGCCTCAGCAAGGTATGTCGACAGGCCAGGCTGCTTCCCACAGCACTGACCCCTGTTCCCAAAGGACAAGGGGAATGCCTACAACACCCTGAGCTGGTCCTGAGGCCCTGCAGCCAAACATACAGAAGGGGGTGCTCTCTTACACATGTAGACTCATCCTCATATATTCATTTTCTTGTACTCTAGGGAGAATAATGAAGACAATTACCTCTTCTTTTGGCAGTACTGGTGACAAATATTTGGGAAAAAAAATTGATGCCAGCCACAAAAGAAGCTCAGGAGAACTTTGTAATACATTGGAAATCACACATTAAATAACAGTCAGGACAAAGAGGCTTTTGTCCAAGCTTTGCTATTTTTTTTCACCAGTTGGAAGCTTTCCTGAAAAGTGAAATTATAAGCAACTGACTCCTTGGAAAAACTGTAACTGCTTGGATTATGTGTTCTTTTCCAGTTTGGGCTTACCTATTAAATGCTATGACTTCCTTACCATTTTAAGCTCCCTTCTGCTGTCTAATGATGTTATGTCTTTCACAACACTTTCCCCTTTCTTTTCTTTCTAGCATTAAATGTTCCTAAATAACTGAATTGGGCTCTGGTATTATTTGCCACGAATATTCTGTTCTTTGAAATATGTATAGTGATTACTCAGCAAATTGAAAATGATTCTCCTGAAGGCAGGAAAGTTATTTGCATCCACGACAACCCTCATATTCAGATGATTTCTCAGAAATATCAGAATCCATTAGACATGATGCATATTTGCAAACCATATGTTCCAAGTAACAAAAATGCAGATGAAAAACTGCTTCACCTTCTCCAGGAGGTTATTCTAAGCCACTCTACATAACACAGTTTCTTTTACTTTTAATCGTATCTCAGTTCTTACAAGCAAAACAACTTAGTATAGAACGAGCTATTAGAGAATTAGCTTATTTAGAGAATTCACCTTCACTGCGTCTTATTAGATAGGAATCATAATTTAAGTAGCTTAACAGGAAATAAATTAGAGAGATGGAATTTGCTATTTTATTTAGTTCTCCTAAATTCATGTTAATGTGAAGATGATCCAGAGGGCATCATCTATACTGTTTATATGGACCTGCTACCAACAACTGTGGTAACTACTGAATTGTAAAATCAGAGACCATCTGGATTTAATGCAATCTTCACTTTCACCCTTCTGAAATAATCAAAATTACAATCAAACTGGAGACCAGTTTGTTCAGTTTCCAATACAAAAGTTTCAAATTGCCTTACTATTGATAAATCATAGTACAGAAGGCCCAGATGAGGACTGTGACACTAGAAAGGAAAAATTCACATACTCATTCTATGAAGAATGTCTGATGCACAACAGTGTCAAATATTACTAAGTTACTCAAGAATCAATTGCTCATTGTTGATTGGATTTGTCTTTAATGTCTCCGAGTTTCATTGTTATTTTAATGTTTGAAATACCCCCAAAATTAACAATATATTTTCTTTTATATATATTTTAACATAGACACACACTACATGTGGTTTTTAAAAAATACATTTATCAGTCTTCAATCCTGAATATATTGAACATTTTTTATAGATAGGAGCTTGGACTCTCACGATAGAATCTGATTAACAATTTAACAATTATTCTTTACAATAGAAAATATTTATAAATTTGCTTGTTTGAAAAGATATCAGCTTTAGTTAGAGAGAAAAAAAAAAGGCAAACTAATAGCATAAATAGTAAATAACTCCCTTTTGTTGGGGAGTATGTAGAGCAAAGCACACTTCCAATAGAGATGATGATTCAATGCTACAGGCGATGAACACCACATCTTCTTGTCAAATTAGCACAAGATTTTGCTATAGTTGGAATATATCCACATACAAATAAAACCGACGTCACTACAAGTGACTGCAGTAAATCAATTAAAAAAAATCAGATTGTTGTGGCTCTCTTTAATGTCCAGTTTATATAAATACACTGAAACCATTAGGGAAAATACAACAACTGGAGAATATTCAGGAAATAGAGGAATTGTCATGGAAAACCCAATTACTTATATGTCTCAGCTATTAATGACTTCAATAAATTAGCAGTGCAGATCAAAATGTGTGGCTGCCCAACCTGGGAGGACATATTTGTCCTTACTCTTCTAGTACCTATGAAAGAGAAAAATAAAGGTACCAGAAACATGTCACTGCAGCCTCTGCTTCCTCCTTTCATACTGTATGCTTCCTAAGGCATGAGACATTGAGCGGGCTGGACGATTAAAGGCTGTGAGTACCAGCTCTGCGTGCCGCATGAAAGACATGGCTTACAAATGGCTTGCATGCCCACCTGTCCCTAAGATTCTTCAGCCCTCAAAGGCTCTGTACAGTAACACAGTTTGCTGCTTGGGCTACACTTAAGTAAATCCTTCTCCATGTTGAAGAGTCATGCAGTGATATTGGCAGAAGACAGGTTTCTACATAGCAAAGTTTGCTTCTTTTCCCTGTTCCTATAATGACCACTGTGGCACAATCTACTAGCTCTGAGATGAGGGCAGGACAAATACCAGAAGGTGTTCCTTACCATCTTGCATAATTTCTTTAAGAATGTGGATGATTGTATTTGCACGCTTGTTGCGCCTTCTGCCCTGAAAGCTTACTCTCTTTCAGTGCTTTAACACTGCCTCATCCTCAGCTAAATGCAAGAGTACTGCACCATGTTTTTTGAACTGTGTTACTCTGCAATCAGACAGCCAGCTCATGATGTTCCACTAGTCAAAACCCATCTGCCCTAAAAGATCAGGGCTGTAAGGTAACTGTGTTTGTGTTTTACGTTCACATTCCATATAACTCTCGAATAGACACAGAGAAAGTAGGGAGGAAACCTGCAGGCAAAATGATTTTTTCCCTAAAACGAAGGAGTTTTCTCAACCAACATCCAAAGGAGCAAGAAAGGGTCTTTAATGGAATACAGAATCACAGAATGACAGAATTGTAGGGGTTGGAAGGGATCTCCAGAGATTATCGAGTCCAACCCCCCTGCCAAAGCAGGTTCCCTACACCAGGTCGCACAGGTAGGCATCCAGGCAGGTCTTGAATATACCATAAGTTATTGGCAGTTAAGATATATTTACAACAGAATTGCTCGGTCCAGACAAGGAAAGGATGACTGTGGGTGGACTCATCTATCTTGCTAGCTGTGTTAGGCCAAAGGCTGCCACCAGCAGCCAGCAATATCAGCAAGAACTCAGGCTAGAAGAAATAAATAAGCAAATAAGAGATGGGGGTTAGCAAGACTGACAATTACAGGAAGTGTGTGGCCCCAAAAAGGGTTTACTGGCATAAAACTGCCAATACCATCTCACGTTCTCATCCAGTGAGAGGCTGGGTAACTCTTTTCAATTGCATTGCCGCAAGCAGACTGACATGTGGCCTACAGCTTCCTTCCATGAGGAGCTGCTGCTTTTGCCGTGGCTGTATTTGCATTTGGATCCGGAAGCGTGGCTGCCTTATGGTTTTGAGTGGTCTGCCACACTGTTTAGCTGTGCCTTAGTGTTCAACTCAGGGAGATAAAAGCCTTTCCCTACTCTCTCTGCTGAGTGCTTTGTTTCTTTGGCTATGTACCACCAGAGCCGATTAGAAGCAAAGTGTTGTCATGAAGAGGTATTTGTGACACACAGTCACCACCACAGAGGTGTTGGACGCCCCATCCCTGCAGACACCCAAGGTCAGGATGCACGGCGTTTGCTCAAGCTGTAGGCGCCCCTGTTCACAGCATGGACTCAGACCGGATGGCCTTTTAGAGTCCCTTCCAATTCCGGTCGTCCTGTGATTCTACGACATGCTACAAGCCGCACGGATGTGGCTTCCTGAGGGGCTTCCGCGTACAACACCGAGGCTCAGGCAAGACGCCACGATGCGGCCGCAACCGCGACCCCGCCCCCCTCAGTCCCTCTCGCCGGCAAAACATTGACGCACGTGCGCCCCGCTTCCCGCTCGCGCCCGGCCCCCGCCCGCCGCTGACGCCAGCGCCCCCACGGCACCAATAGACGAGGGCGCTGCCGGGTAGCAACAAGCGCCGCGGCCGGCGGCCAATCAGCGCGCCGCGGGGGCGGGGTCAGAGCCGCCCCATGTTACTTCCGTCAATAGTCCCGCGGCCTGCCTCCATCGCGCTGCGGGGAGCCGCGCTACCGCCGGCAGGTATGGGACGGGCCGGCCGGGCGTGGGGAGGTGGTGTGCGAAGTAGGCGGTGTGAGGCCGCTGGGGCTGTTTGTGAGAGTGTCGCGAGCTCGGGGGTTGCTTGGTGCTGGGTGTGGGCAGACGTGGCGTGAGGGGTTTGGGAGCGGAGCTGCGGTGGCGTGGGATGGGGAAGGATGGGAATGGGCCGGTGCTGGGCGTGAGGGACGGCGTGCTGGAGGCTGGGGGTTGGGAGCCTGTCTGTGGGAGTGGAGTGAGGCTGTACCGGGGGCTGCAGGGCAGTGAGGGAGTTGGGGTGAGCAAAGGGTGGCAGCAGGGAAGAGGGGAGAAGCTTCAGGTAGGAATTCTGATGAAAATGAGGGGCTTTATCCATGCTTTTTGAAAAATGGGTCCTGTACAGCCTGGGTGTGCTTAAATGTGTGGGGAAATAAGAGGTGCAACTGGGGTGGGCAAGAAGAGAAGCTGCAGCTGAGTCTCTGCAGCACCTCAAGGTTTGATTTGAGGCAGCTATTTGATATGAAGTAACATGGGCTGGGGATGAAGTCAAATCAGACTCTGACTTCTGAGTCATAGAGGCTGATTAGGCTGGTTTCTGGAAAAACATCACCTGCCTGTAGCGTGAGTGTAAAGGTCCAGTTCCTTGTGAAGGTTGAGCTCCTGAAAAGGTAATGTTAGGGTTGCAAGGGAGGGTGTGCTGTTGGATTGCTGGGAAACATGAGAGCATTGACTTGTCCCATCCGAGAATTACTTGGGTTGAAAGGGATCTTAATATCGTATGATCTTGCTGTGGAATAATAAGAATGGTTTGAGTCATAATTATATGTTCCGAAGTATAGGAATGTATAGATAGAAGAGACTTTCTCTAGTAGGTTGGCAGAGTAATAGGATCTTGCCACAATCATGAATGTCTTTGTAGTAGCATTTACTTTTGTAGTAAGTTGCCGACTTTGTATTAAACAGAGCTCCCTTGCAAGTGGATGGGTGTCTCAGGCTGTATTAAGCCTGACCTACACAGGCTTCTGTGCTATTCCTTCCATGCTTCTTTAGTGTGGCTCTTGTCTCCACTGTCCTTTTTGCCATCCTTATGAGGAAAAGTTGTATGTTGCGAAGTGAAGAATTCTTGCTCCTGTTTGGCTTTTAGGAGCAAGTTAAAATGCAAGTAATGTCTTCCATTAAGCCCCTGTTGTTGTCTAATGACAATAGAATCATCTAGGTTGGAAAAGATCTTCAGAATCATGAAGTCCAACTGTTAGCCTGACCTACAGAGTCCTATCACTAAACTGTGCCCAGCTTAAGACCAGGTTATGCTCCATTAACTCTTTTCTTTATGCAGCCTCAGATTTTTTTCTCCACAGTAGTTGTTTTGGTAAGATGAGCAAATTGCTCAATATCAAGAACAGAAATCCTTTTGAATGTTAAAGAGCCCCAAACCCATATCCATACAAGTAGCATTTGGAAATTGCTCCTGAAGGGATACACTCTTGGTTTGTGTGATAGTGAGACTGTGTCTTGGGCTAAAAATATCTGTGTTTTGGAGGGACAAATAAATAGGTCAATGTGTATTGGCTTTACACAGTTGCTGGCTTTCTGTCATCTTCCACAAATTTTTAAGTTTAAAGTAATCTGATCTTTTTAATAGCTTTTTTACTTTTGAATCTTAAAAAGATAATGTGTTCAACATACTAGATGCTAGTGATAGACAAGAGATAATCACAGAATCACCAAGGTTGGAAAAGACCTAAAAGATCATCCAGTCCAACTGTTCACCTGTTACTAATAGCTCCCACTAAACCATGTCCCTCAGCACAACATCCAGTCTTTCCTTGAACACCCCCAGGGTTTGTGACTCCACCACCTCCCTGGGCAGTCCATTCCAGCATAACAACCATAACTTGTGCTGGGGAGGTTCGAATTAAGTATTGGGGAAAAAATTCTAGAATGAGTGGTAGTGCATTGGAACAGTCTGGGAATGGAAGAGGTGGGGTCACCACTGCTAGAGGTTTTTGAGGGAGTTGTAGGTATTGCACTTAATGACATGGTTTAGTGGTGTGATCATGATGGGTGGATGGTTGGACTCGGTAATCTTAGTGGTCTTTTCAACTGTTAATGATTTTATGTGGAAGAGCTATGCTTGAAATCTATCTTAAGTGCAGCTTTCCGAGACTTCTGGAGCAAGTGTCAGTGCTCTTTGTGGGTGTGCTTGTGGCTGCTACTACTTTAAAAGTGCTTAATGTCATTATTTGAAAGACAGATGAAGAAGAAATTCTATTCTGTGTTGAAACCTTCCAAAAAAAGGCCATCAGTTTTCCAAATCATCCTAAACGTCTGGGAAGTAGACTGGTTTAGAGCATGTGTGTGCTGAAGCCTATTATTTTAAATGCCTGTATGGCTTCACGGGAGGGAGTTATACGTATCGTGCCATTGGTAAGGGTGCTAACTTGAAACTACCTTTTTCCAAAATTCAAGACTTTTAAAAACCTACCTACAAGCCTGTTCTGTTCTGATTGGCTTTGGATTCCTGCTGCTGCTGTCCTCTAGAACAAAGTTTTCTGTGTTGTATTGTTTTCAGGAAGCTTTTCCTTTTTATGTATCTTACCCCATTAGCTTGTAAGAATATGCATTCCACCATGCTGCAAGCACTTATTCATTTTCCCAACAATTATTTCTATCTATTCTTAAAAATTGTACATCTTTTTTTTTCTTTCCTCTTCAATCTATTATCTCTATAGTTCTGAATTCACTCTAGTTTTTAACTTTTTTGGGCTGATGAGGTGTACCTATAATAACATTTAATATTTGTATCAGAACTGCTGACTAAAAATAGTTTGTGAGCACTGCATCTCTAGACATAGTTTAAAATTGTTTGCTCTTCTGCTGTTTTTTTAGTATCTTTGATAGTTTTCTACATTTTTTAGGTAGAAAATATTTGCTGATGTTGCTGGGAGTTGAAATACCTTAAGCTGTCTTATTTGGAAATGTGCTCATAAACATTTGCTATTCAAACAGTTATTGTAGAGACAAAAGGGTCTTAATTTCAGCCTAAAAGAGAGGTGTTCTGAGCAAGTGGAAGAAATGCAGTTTATGATGCCTATTGTGATTACTAAATCACCAACAAGTCAGGGAAAAGAATGCAGGCGTGAATGAAATTTGTGGTGGTTGGAGGGAAGGATGTGGTGAGCTTTGGAAATGATTCCTGTCAGGTTCAGAGGAAGGCTGAGATACAAATAGCAAGAGGACTTTTATCAGTGTCAGGGGCTAGACTGCGCCTCATTTTGTGTGGTGTGTTGTGGGATGTTTCTTTTTCTTTTTCTCAGCTTCTATTTCGTGCGGTTTTTCATCCTTCTGTTTCTTCTCTTACTGTAATTAATGTGTTGGATAGATGAGTGTGTGTGTGGAGTGTGAATGGATACATAAATGCACAGTGATGTTTGACTGATCTGGCCTAATATTTTTTCAACTTGAACACACAGTTGTTAACACACAATGCTTTTTTGCCCTGTGCAGTCTGCACGTAGAATCTCTACTCAAAACATACAACAGTATGAATGCCATGAATGGGACAAAGAAGGCAAAAGATCGTAAGCTCAGGTTCTTTAAAGTGTGGAAAAATGTTTTCTTCAAATTCGTAGCATTTACGTGTTAAAAGTGGCTCTCCTATTTGGAAAAGAGTGATGGAGCACTGTATTGTGGTATACCTGTGCTGACTTGTATCTGTTTCTAGGAAATTCAGTCATTGACAACTGATGTTATTCTGTGGTCTCTGTTTGTCCTGAGTATCCAGGTAATAGCCTAACTTGGGAGATGACCCTAAAAATATATATGTATTTTTGGAAAGTGGGTATTTATGTACTGAATCATCATTGTATACAGTGTAGTGCATCTTGATATTTAGAAGGCTTAACAGAGAAAAAGAATAAGTGGAGAATCATTAGTTTGAGCTCATTAGATGTGAACAACCATTTAATAGTCAGATCTCAAAAACTAGTAGTTCAAGTCCTGCTCTATCATGGTTAATTTTGCTTGGTTATCACCTCTTCTCGCGGACTACAGAAGTTATTTTACTTGTTCTTAAAAACTGTGGAGTCTACTTCAATCTAAGAAAAGCTGAAGTACAGGAGAAATGAGGTTAAGGAATCAAAAATGTACTTGAACTATTGAATCTGTTCAACAGAACTTTATTTTCACAATGTAATCACACACTTTCAAAGTTAGAGAAATGACATAACCAACTCTGCAGGTTTTGGTAACTGAAATAGTACATTTTCTTGCTCCTCATAGAGAAACCATGCCATTTTTGGGCCAAGACTGGAGGTCTCCTGGATGGAGGTGGGTTAAAACAGAAGATGGATGGAAACGATTTGAACCTTTTGGATCTGCGCTTCAGGGTGGAAACAGTCAGCTTAATGACATCAGTCACACTGTGTAAGTTATCGGCCCATGCAGAACCATGTTATTTTTATTTAACAGCAGGTGGGAAAGCTGCAATTGACTTGACTTGTGATCTCTTCATGTGTGTGAAGCATACAGATGCAGCTGTGTGCTTTGTTTATCTCTTCTGTAGACTGTCCATCTACTTGTTGCTACTTCATGAGTTGCTTTTTTAGGCAGATGAATCTTGTTCTACGTTGTGTAGTTGGATTGGTTTTTTTTTTCTCTTGAGACTGAAGTGATATCTGTAAGTTGCAAATGCAGCAAGTGTGGTGAAATGTTACCTTGAAATGAACGAAGCACTTCTGTTGATTGTGTACTGGATTGGACCCATTTATGGTAGTCATATATTGCCTTTGTTCTAAAAGCGTGACTCGTGCTATTTTTATGGCAGTTACCTAGTACTGTATTTGTCTATATATGCCTCTGCAGAATGAGTGGTAACCATATTAGGCAGACTGAGAAGGAAATAAAGTAATATTGGTGGCAGAATGCCCACACACTGGTGTGATAGAAGTGGCTTTGTCCAAACAAATTCCTGATTTATCTTTGCCACGAAGTATTTCTTTGGGATAACATTCTTGGTTATAAATTCCTGCTTAATGTCATCATAATGAGAAAAGGGAACATTCAGTGTTTTACTGTTAGTCCAGTAAATGATAAAGTAATCTGATCTAGTGGGAATTTACTGGCAAGCTAGAACTTGCTCTACTCATACACCTGTGTTTCTACTCATACACCTGTTTCTAAATTTGTGAACTGAACCTAAAGTGTAATCAAGTGGTGAAGAATTGCTTTGAGCTTGTCTCACAGAATCACAGAAATGAGGTTGAGGAGACCACCTGGGATCATCTAATCCAACCCTGAGTGCTTCAGGCAAGGTCATTGAGAGCACATTGCCCAGGGTCACATCCATTGGCTTTGGATATCTCCAGAGCAGGAGATGAGACCACAACCTCTCTGGGCAGCATCTCAGGCTTTCTTTATGCCTTTACTACTTGTGTCCATCTGTTACTGATGCCATTTGGGCTTTTTTCCCCACAGTCTGGCTGCTGTGGATACAAAAAATATTGGAAGAACTTTCAGTAAATCTCTGAAGAAAAAGTTGCCTTCAATATACTTGCAAATTTTTTTCTTCTTTCATAAATCTTTTATTGGCAGATGGAGTCTACTTTTGATGTTTACTTGCACAGCCAATGAAGTCTTGTATTTTGTAGTTTGCTTTAATGAATATTTGGCAAGTATGACATCAAGAATAATCATTTTTGTGAATATCATTGTAAATGAAGACTTCTGCTTTTCTCATCATAATAGTATGTTGATTTTTTTTTTTGTGAATGTGTGCCTGTATATTTAGTTGTGCATATACATATGCAGAATCTTTTCACCAAACAACTAAATTAGACTGCTTTTACTGTTTCTTCAAGCTGAAATACTCAGCTTTTTCTTAGTTTTGAAGGATCTTAGTTTTGAAGGATCTTACTGTTGAACTTTCTGGTGACTGTATTGCTAGGAATGGATTTAAATCAAGTGCTTGAGAAGATACAAGATTATTGAAGTTAAGGACTAAAAAAAACCATAAATTTGAAGGGACTGGTCATGAGGTGCTCTGGATAAAAGTTTGATATTGGTGATGTTGCACAATTTGAATTTCTTAGGCTGGCTTGCCAGCTTGTCAGAATCCCAAACTTGAGAATCACCCTATTCTGCAACAGATGGTCTCATCTATAGTAATTCCCCAGTTTTCCATCTTGCGTGTCTCCTACTTAGCATAGCCAAACCACACCATATTCCCCAGTCCTATGTCTTTGTCGCTTCAGTATATGCAGCTTGAAATGTATATTGAGGAAAGCTAAACTGTGGTGTTCAAGTTGGTGGTACTTGGCATAATAGCAGTACCTTGGAGTAATTTCATTACAGCTTGAGAACTCTGGATCTGTGAGTTAACTTCTGTTGCTCAACACTGATTAATGTCTATATAAAATACAGGATAATTTTGGTAGGAAAGGACTTCTGGAAGCCATCTGGTTTGAAGACACAACTCAAAGCAGGGACAGTGACATTGGGTTGGGCTGGCAGGGTAGTCATTTCTGTCTGTGGTATCTCTCATCTGATTATCTGAATGATCTGTGGTGTTCACAGAAGTTCTATGAGCACTGGATAGGAGTCCTCAGTCTCAGATAAGTTTAGCATTTGACGAATATACTGTAATTTTGTTTGGTACAGGCACTGAACTTAGGAATTTTCCATATTTGGATAGACTAGGACTATGTCTCCATAGGTAAATGCATGATGTGAAGGCATTTCTTCTTCAATGAGAAAAGAAGCAAGGGGATGAAGAAGAATAGCTGTGGTTAAGATAGCCCTGCAAAGTCTTCCACTCCAGAAGGTTGATAAAATAGTGTCATGAAACTACACTTTTGAAAGAGTGGAAATTCTGGCATGCTTTTTTATGTGGAATATTGTAATTTAAACTATATGTAGGACACTGTTCTGTTTTTAGAAGCTACAGAGCAATCTATATCATCAATCAATCTATCATCAAGACTTGAACTTCAGAACAGCTATACGTGGGCAATATTAAGTCTGCATTTAAATCCTGTCAGGTGCAGTCAGATGTTAGGAATGGTGGTATGGTAACAACTGTTAACATGAAGTTATCATACATATAATGGTGTATGTAGCACATGATTCAGTTCTTTGACTTTGTATAGCTGCACTTTGGTGGTTGGAGGAGCAGGAGTTGGTATTTGGAGTGGTGGCTTTGAACAGCCAGCTCTTCAAATTTCTTAAAGGAATGCAAAGAAAAAGGCAAAAAGTTGCTGTAGACATGCTCTTGGTTCTGTCCTGTTCTTTCTGATAGCTGTGGGACCCTTACTTTCTTTTCAGTGTCTGGAAACACACAAACCTCTTATATTTTTCCAAGAATAACATTGGTTACTGATACACAGAAAAGGACTACACACAAAGTGAACAATGAATTCTTCCTTCACAAGGAGGTGAAGTCTCGTGTGAGAAAATCCTCAGGCAAAGTTTCATCTCTAAAATGACCTGAATTCCTGGAATGTCATGGCTGAATTTGGATATCAGACAAACATTTGAAATATTCCTCTTTGCAATTCCTCTTGTTAATGGACTGGTCTTATTAGGCTGCCTTGCTTGCTTGTCTGATACTAGAGGAAGTGTTTGGGAAGGAAAGAGGCTTTAAATAACTGCAGATAGATTACTGCTCTACATTGCTTTCCAGGGGCTCTTTCTCTCCAGGAACAAAAGTAGGAATTGTGCCAGATAAACCTTCCTGTTCTAAAGATGGCCTTTCTCAATGCTTCCTGCCCTGCCTGGCCCAGTGCACTGGGTCAGTGAGCATGTTTCTGTTCTGCCTGATCTATATAGCAGAACATCAGCCTGGATCTCAATGGCTTGTAGCTGACGTTAGGGTGATAAAGCCAGAAGCTTTACCAGGAGTGCTGGACTCTTTTTTGGATTCTGCAACAACTTTTCGTGTGATGTGATGATACAGTCAATGTTAAAACTTAATTCTTTTAGTGAACTTGGTGATTTCTCTTACGAAAGCTTTTTTTTGGGGGGGAGGTGGAGGGTGATGGGGGGGGGGTGGAGGATGACACCACAGAGCACTAAAAACAAACAAAAACTGGAAGGTTAGAACACTACATAATCCAAATAAGTTGTCAGTGTTATATTCTACTTCCAGTGGTTGCCAGTTTCTTTTCTCCTCTTTCACTGTCTGACTAGATGTGATGTCTAGTCAGCACTAGAAAATGTGGAAGTACTGAGTCTATGCTTTAAATGCCTTCAGACATGAACTAAGCCCTCAGCTTGAATTGAGCTCTACTTGAATGCAGAGGTGTTGCTTCTTTTTGAGGGGGAGGGGGGGATTATTAAACTTCAGATGAAAATTCCTGTTTCTGAGTTTTCTAAACTCACATATCATTAAGTTGAGCTGATTAGTGCAGTTAAACTTTTTGTGCAGTATTTAATAATTCTTAAAAGATTGTTCAAACCTGAAAATTTCAACTTTGTAAGTGAGCAGTAGTAGACTAATACAATTTTTACCATGTGATGCCTTACTACAGGTTACTTTTGCATAAACCAGTGACCTTCAGTTTTAGCATTTGCATTTTGCTGCTAGAATTTGAACCTCAAACATGTTGCTAAATAGATTCAACAGGTAAATCCAGATCTTAAGGGAAAGTAAGGGAAGTATGGGAAAAGTGATGTATAATGCTTTCTTATCAAAAATGCTGATGAAGAAATAAGTCTTGTAGTTCAATTTCAATGTGCTGTACCCTGAGTTACTCAAGTTATCTACACAAGGTTATTGCCTCTATGTAAAATGCGTGCTCATTATCTAGGTTGCTGTTCCTTATTTTCTGTGAGAATTGAAACAAAAACCTTAGCACAGGTAGAGTTTTTAATGTATATGAACATTAGAATATAAGCTTATGTGAGAAATAGAATTGCTGTAGTCAGTCCTCAGTGTCAAGTTATGTAACTCGCTCTCAGAAGTGACACAGGTTTAGCTTTGATTGTCCCCTGGAAGAGCTAGTGGTCACTGCATGGTTCTTGGTGCCCTGTGACATCTGGTAGCACGGTATGGTACCTCCTAAATCATGGACAGTGTTGTGATTTGTGCATTTAAGAAGTTTTCCTTATTTTTCACCAAAATTGAGAGTGGTTAGAAGAGAGATGCCTTTTTGCTGTCGTCTTGCCCTTGTGTGGTTGTGCAGTAATTTTGTGCTGATTTTCACCTGTGTGCTGCAATTTCATGGCTCGGTCCATTTCAAATTGTGACTTTGGTACCCTCAAACTTAGCAGATAGCCAATTGTTCAGCTACTACTGTCTCCTCAGTAGTCTGTTCTTAATATCAGTAATGACTTAGGAGGTAATAGCTACTAAGAAGATACTTGTATCAAAGTGATTAAATGCACACAAAATTCAACACTCTGGGAAGAAAAGAACACAGTAGCATATATCTTGAGAGAGGTTGCTTCCTACCTTCAAGTAGACAGCCAACATGTAAAAAACAACTTATTTTTCTACCAAGTTTTTTGATGTAGAGAATTATAAGCAGTATGCAGCGTAGGTATTTAATTACTGCTGTTCTAATTATGTCTTTATTTTAGTATCTTAACTGGCGGTGATGATGATGAAATGTATGCTTCTGAGGACTGTGAATTTGCAGCCAAGAAAAGGAAAAAAGATCACTGTAGAAACAACACGGATTCACAATGTAAGGCTGAGTTATTTTCCTTTATTTTAAACTGTTGTAGATTCAGCCATTCATATATATTCATATACAGGATAGTTTTCTAAATTATGTCTGTCTTTGTACTGGCCAGAAGTTTAGTGCCAGAAGTTATGCATCTTAATTGAGCTGTGGCATTGGTCATCTATTGTGGGATTTACAAAGATTCAAAGTAATTCATTTAAGAATAGCAGTTTCTAATTAGTAAGCATCAAATGCAAACTGCTGTTCTGCTTTGTGGTCTAGTTTTAGATTAAGTTCTTCTGGCTGCTTAGGGAAGTCATTGCTTATCAAAGCAGCACTTTTATTTTCAATTATTTCTATATTTGCTTACACAAATAGCTCTAGAATTAGTTCAGGAGTAAATATATTTTGTCGTAATGCTTTTGTTAAAGATTTTGCCTGTATTGAGTTTCATGAAAAATATCTTCATTGAAATATCAAATCTATTTTTGTTGATTGCTGATTTTAAAAGAGGACCCGTGTTTTAGATTGCAAGCGTATGACAGCAAGAAAAGTACTTGAAATTGAGGCCTTGATAGAGTGAGTAGAAGAAGAAAAAAGTTTATAGCAAACTGTGGAGGCTTCTAGTGCATTGATCTTGAAGTGATTTTCATTATTTGTACCTTCTGAAATTAACAGATTGCCATAGAGGAAGCTGAAAGCATCCTCCAGCTTGCCTTGGTTTAGAAAGTGTTTCAATATACTGGCATGGCGATATGTAAGAGAACTTTCACTTGCCACTGTATCCAGACTTCTGAAAGCTGAATGTAGAAATTGCCTTTGTGGGTCTTGCATAGTTGGCTTTCCTGCAGGGTTCTTAAAAAAACAGGTTAGAGAAGTAGAGCCTTCAGTGAAAAAAGGCTGTGCATTTCTACTCCCTTGTGTGCTAAGGAGCCTTGTGTACTGAAAAGTAGTGGTGCTTATAAGAGAGAGATTGTTTTTTGGTATGCAGTAAAAAAAAAAAAAATAGTGCTACATCTGCCAGTGGTCCTCACTCCTGTTTGATTTATGTTGTTTAACTTTAGTATGTTTTAAAGTATGTAACTTCTGACATTTGTAGCTGTTCTTTTCAGCTCTGAAAAACTTCCTTCACCAAAATTGTTCTGTCTCCTCTCTTATTAAGCATTTTATTGAGGATGGTCTATTTTCTTCAAAGCCTTCCTGGAACATACTACCTCAAATGGCAGTCTAAAAGTTCTTATGTTTCTATTTCAGGTTTTTATCGTGAAAATTGGATTTATGTTCATAAGGAAAGCACCAGAGAAGTAAGTCCTGCATGCTCTGGGTCATCAGTTTCTATGGTCTTTGTGCTTAAATGGCAACTCTCACATAAGAGAAAAACATGTTCTGCATCTTCTTAGTTATACTTAATTCTTTCTTCACTGATAGCATTATGACTGTGGGAGGCAAAGGCAGGTAGCAAAGTCACTTTTGTGTGACTTTTATGTGGATAGTTCTGGTAAGGATGTGGGAACTTGAGTGTATGTTTAGGGTCACCCATGCCAAAACACACTGCCTAAAACCACTCACTGCTATCCTTCATAAGCTGTATGTTGGGATGATTTTCCCTACTCCCCACTTGTACAGAAGTTACTGTACTGGTGACGTGACTATTTGCTTGTGTTTTTTGCCAGTTCCTGAAGTGGACAAAATATGTTATTGTTTGAATTAAATTCCTATTTGAGTCTTCTAAACTCACATATCAAGTTGAGCTGATTAGTGTAATTAAACTTTTTGTGCAGTATTTAATAGTCCTTCTTAAAAGATGGTTCAAAGCTGAAAATTTCAACTTTGTAAGTGAGTAGGAGTAGACTAATACAATTTTTTGCCATGTAATGCCTTAATACTTTTGCATATAAAATACTTTTTTGGTTACTTTTGCATAAACTTTATTCTTTGAATTTAGTTATTATTGTCTTTTGATAATTGACTATCCTCATTACCAGTTCTCCTTTGGTTCTCTTAGCAGGGTTGATTACTTATAGTCATTCTTGTATCTTATGCTGGCATGACAGCACTAGACTGTATCAGCATTGTGATCATGCAGGAACAGAATAGATTCTCAAACGCTTGATACCAGAGTGGGCAATGATTATGAATTTATGGCCTTGCTACCAAGTAACATTGCCAAGGTTAGATAGGCTATTTGGAACTGGTTTCATTTCTTCTTCAAGAAATAATAATAAAAAAATCTTCAGATATATCACAGTTCCAGGGAATGTGGTGTAGGTATGCTTCTGTTGCATGGCAGTGTTTTTTGTAGACCATTTTGTTTGATGGGTGAGGTGGTTCTCCTGTTTGCTTTTTTCCTACTTCCAGTGTTTATTCCTTTTCTCAGAGACATGGCTATTGCACTTTGGGAGAAGCTTTTAATCGCCTGGATTTTTCAAGTGCAATTCAGGACATCAGAAGGTTCAATTATGTGGTCAAAGTAAGCTCTTTATTTTATATGTTTTTCTTTACAAATGTGTTTGCTGATATGCCCACGCATACAAAAGTTGCACTGACAGGTCTGTGTAAATATCCTGTATATATATGTAACTTATACTGCGTGAAGCAGCTGGACTTCTACTTGAAACAGAATAATTCTTCTACTGTGAGAACTAGTTATATTCTTCCGTGGAAGCCTTCAGCTTAGGAAGGATGGTGATGGCCAGTGTTCTGCTATATATTTACAGTGAAACAGTGGTAGATCCAGTTGTTGCTCTATCTCAGTAACGAAATCTTTTTAAAGGAAAATAATTCCCCTACAAGCAAAAATAGGAAAGCAAGGTAACTCTTAAGTACATGGACCAGAAGTAATATTTGTCAGAACAATATTTGATGTGTAAATATTCTTCAGTTTCTTCTACAGCTTCTTAATAGTGTGATTAACTGTATTACTGTTTTTTGTTAGACAATTCATCTTTGTTAAAATCCCATGTAACCTAATCGTATTCCAGCAATTTTATTGAGGTTGTCTTTTAACAATAATATAGTGGCTTGAAGTTTATAGGTAAAGTACGCTGTGTAAATACTGTGATTCTTTCTTCTTGCAAAGGCCCTTTCTCTGTTTTAACTGGTTTTTGTGGGGACAGATCTAGTCTTGAGGACAAAGGGTCTGAAACCATGAGTGTAGGGAAGTCCTATCATCCCTTAACTTTCAAGATGTCTGCCTACTTGAAATGATGTTCCAGGCCCTTTGTCATCTTTGTGGCCTTCTGCTGGACTCTCTCCAGGAGATCCCTGTCTTTTTTTGTACCAGGGAGCCCAGGACTAGATGCAGTACTCCACATGAGACCTGACCAAAGCAGAGACTGGGAGGAGCACCTCCCTTGACCTGCTGGCCATGTTCCATTTATTGCACCCCAGGATCCGACTGACGTTGGCCACCAGGGCTCACTGCTGGATTAATGTGCTAGCTATGCATGAACACAGTAATGACTAGTCTTGTGTGGTGGGCTGCTTCTTGCGTTCAAGGATAGAAAGATAAAGTTTTGCTTTTGTTTTAGTTTATTCTTATATATCAGCTCATACTGAGTATCTTTGCTTGAATCCCAGATTGCCAAGGTGATCCACTTTGAATCTCCAGCTAAGTAACCACCTTCAACCATTGTCAAAAGTTAATACCAGTGTCTGTTCAAGACCCTAGTGGTCTCAGTGGAGAGAGGAGGTTTTCCTATACTTGTTATGTTGTAATGTAGTAACAATTTTTTAGCTTTTCAATGATTGGTATGGATGGCCTTATCAGAAGGTGTTTCCATTTGGATAAACAGGTGATCCATTTGACATTATAATCTTGAGACAACATAAGACAAAGCTATACATGTATCACAAGGATGAACTTGTTAAATCCTTGTACTCATGCACCTGCTAAAACAGTCTTACTCCTTATATATTAACCTTCACTGAAAACATCTTCATTAAAATCAGCTGGGTGGAATTTTTCTTGGATTTGATCTGCAGTTTAAGTAATATGACTTTAAATAAGAAACGTGTGTACTTGAACTGGCAAACTGCCTGAGACTTCTAGGTGTTCTCTAAACTGTTAATCAAATTAAAAAGCCCTAAAAATACTGAGAAAGGTCCTGATAAAAAGCTATAGGTCTCAAAAGCTATAAAAATAGATTAATTGTATTTAAATACATCAGGAGATATTTTTTCCTTTCACAGCACATAATGTTGTGTCAGGGGACATGCAGAGAAGCCAGAAGGAGTGTTATTAAATCAGAGAGAGAACAGGTGTATTCTCCTCTTCCAAAGGAAAATTAATGGTGGATGTAGTGTCAACTCAGTGTTTTGCAAATGAAGATACAAAGTATTCTTTGGCAGGCTTAGCCTTTGCGCACCCTCTGTGCCAGTAGTTGATGCCCTCCTACAAAGCATAGCTGTGCAAGCTTGTGTTTAGAGTACTCTGTGGGGAATTGCAGTTTCTGCTCCCTGCTTTCCATTTCTGATGCATTGGGAGCTTTTATTCTGAGCGATGTTATGAATTGCAATTGCAGAACTTGGTGCTATATTTTCAAACTTTGCAATACCATCCTGACATTGAGACCTTCCTTATAATTGATCCTTAGTGACTTTTTTTGTTGTTGAAGAGGCAATCCTTATCAGCTCTTAAACCAAATCAGCACAGATCTTAAGAATAGAGAAGGGCCTGCTTCGAGGAGTTAGAGCTTGATATTCATGCATGGCAAGAACTTCATCCACTCAGTTTCTTTCACTCAGACTATTCTTCCTGTTCTTAATACTGTTCTGATTGTAGCAATTCCAGAGAGAATCATGTGGATGGTTGCTATATGTTATGGGAAAGATACCAATGCCAGAAATGAATACTGTTCCTTCTTAAATTACTGTGGTTTCCCCTACTAAATGTAGGAGGGGTACAGCAGTCTCATGCTTCCCTTTATGTAAAATGGCACATTTCCCTTCATGAGAAGGAAGTAGCATATTAGGTTGTCATGCCTGAGTTCAGCCAGTGTGACAGTTCACTCAAACTGGAAGTCTGGTACCTGGAATCAGTTCAGAGTGATGTTTCTGGCCACTGAATATGTCAGGACAATCAGGACTCAACTACTGTGTTGTATTGCAATTTCACAAACACAAATTTTGTTTCATTACAATTTATGAAGATCAGATCTCATGTGCTCTGTGATAGAGATATGTGCTTGATTTGTATAGTGTTTTGAGAATATATCTCTCAGTGAGTTGGTCATGAGATTCCAGTAGTAATGCTTAAAGCTTCCTGCATTTGTCCTACTTTGTTTTCCCAATTTTGTAGTTCCATTTTTGTGAAATACAATTGCAGTGCTGTAGGTTGTTGTAAACGAATGTATGTAAGCTGAATGAGTCCGATCTTTTATTCTGTCTTCTGACTTTTAATTCTTTGCCACAGCTTTTGCAGCTGATTGCAAAATCCCAGTTGACATCACTGAGTGGTGCAGCACAGAAGAACTACTTCAACATTTTAGACAAAATTGTGCGGAAAGGTAAACTGAGGCTTTCATAATCTGCTTGTTCAGATGCCACAGAAATACCTACCATCCAGTTTGAGAAAAGTAGTTTTTCTGTTATTGAATCGTGTTGAAACAGATGAGTGAAGTAAAATGCCAGCTAAATTCTGTTCAGAAACAAACTATTGTCTGCTATTAAATTATAGTCGTTATTAAACGTGTTATCTGTTAGAAGAAACAATTGTGGTAAGCTTAGTAACTTGATTGGTTTTCAATGTACATGACACACTAAGGTCTAAAGTACATAGCTGCTTTTATGTACAGTTTATTTTAAAAAGTTATCACATAATATTGATCAGGCTTTTGTGGTAACCACACTAAGTGGAGGTAACGTACTGTCAGCTCTGAATAGAAAGAATTTGAATTTATAAGTTGGTGTTGAGTTTACAGAATACATAGTATGATGCTTTAATCAAACTTGCTTGTGATTTTTTTTTCTAAAATTATTTACCTTTTATGGAACAGCATTAATGAATGTGAGAGAGAGGATGAGGCAGGGCAGCAATTTTCACACAAATAGTTATCTTGAGTTAATTTAAGCTGATTATATAGGTTTGGTAACTGAGATAACAAAAAAATTGTATCTGGTTTTGTTTTTCTAGTCATGGAAGACCATCATAACCCACGATTAATCAAAGATCTTCTACAGGATTTGAGTTCCACTCTCTGTATACTGATCAGGGGAGTAGGAAAATCCGTTCTGGTAGGGAACATTAATATTTGGATGTGCCGATTAGAAACCATCCGCTTGTGGCAACAGCAACTAAAAAACCTTCAGATGAACAAGGTATGTTGTTAAATTGTGCTTGTGGAGGAGGGGAGAGACGAGAGAGAGTACACTAAACGTGGGTTTATGAATTTAAGTGAACAAGACTTCAAATGCGTTCTAAATAGATGAGCTCAGCAGAAAGCAGAGATTTCTTCAGCAAGTAGCTTAAAGTGATAAAGTAATATGAGTTACTAACACCTTGAGACAGAAGCCCACTTCAGATCACTGTTGTTTTTTCCTTGGTTTTTGGAGAAGTAATGAGATTCCTGAAAAGGAAATTGTTCGTAATATTTTAATAGATTCTCTCTGATGAGGGCTGGTATCATAGCTATACTACAGTTTTCTGGCAGATGTGTAGCTGTAATCCTTTTTCTCATCCAGAGAACTTTAAAGATGTTTCCCCAAGTATTCAGGTAGAGCTGACAAAACATAAATTTCTGATACTGAAGTAAATATTCTAGTACTAAAAATGCAAACCTAAGGTGAATTTTTTATTTGGACCAGGAAGAGAAAAAGCAGAACATAGGAATAACAATTCTACACTTGTATTCGTTAGCACAGTTGCTTTTTGTGAAAAAGGATAATGATTTTAGCATCTGGACTGTGATCATGGAACTTGATTTAAAGTATATGGTATAAACTCTTCCAAGTTTTTTTTTTTTTTTTTTTTTTTTTTTTTTTTTTAAGTGGAAGCTTCTGAAGATAAGCAGGGAACTTTGTGTTTTCAGGCTTAGCCTGTCGGGGGCACTTCCAAAAGAAATGCTCCAAGATGTTGCATGTAACAGCTTTCATCTTTGAAATTGCTGCATGTGCTGGGCATCTGAATATGTCAGCAACTTTATAATAAAAAAAAAAAAAAATTGGGAGCCTGATCTCAGCAGTTCTTATATGCCAGCCAACCAAAACAGAGCTTGAGAGATGCTACAGCTGTGGTACTTCTTTCCAGCAGGCCACTGCCATCTGAGCTGTCCTACATTGGTTGAGATAACTGATGAGAAATCTAGTGTTTGTAGTGAGCACAGCGATAGTCCCAGGGGTGTTTGTAACAGATGACTGTGTGGAAGACTTCATCTGTAAGTGAGATGAATGGTGGTGAAGTAAACAGATGTGAAGTAGTGGCTGCCGGAGTTCAGCTGCGGTGGGACCAGCGCTCCTTGGCAGGGCAGCTCCACTAGGTGGGGCCGGCAGCCTCCATCCTTTGCCTGGCAGCAGGGCCTCCAGTGCTCTCCAGTAGCACTGCAGGTTCCAGGGAAAAACTTTTCTGTCATCTTTTCAACAAGCTCATCCTTTAGATTCAGTCATGCGTGAGTTACGCTTACCCCATAGAAGAAAACTTTCAGCAGAGGCGTAGACTCTTATGGAGGACTTTCTCAGTGCTCTGATCTGTCTCTTCTTACAGAACTGCTTGTGTGTGTTATCAAGGGAGCTGTTTCCAGACTTGAGAGATGAACTTACATTATGAAGACAGATGCAAAAGAAAGCTTTCTTTTTTTCTACTCTTCAGTCCTATATTTTGTACTGCATTCTGTACTCCTTGTGAGAGAAATTCACATGCTGTTTCCTAATAAGAATTGAGAAACATCCTATAATCACTTCAAACCTTTTTAATCTAGTATTCAGATTATCGCACGACTAACCTCAATGCTTTTGCTCAATGGTTTTGTACAAATAAGAGCTGAGGTATCTCTAAGGATTTTATTGTACCTTTTATTGTCAAGCTTTTTTTAGCTAAGTTTTCAACTCTTCATTCCAGCAAGTCAACAATGGTCTTACGCTCAGTGATCTTCCTCTGCATATGCTGAGTAACATCTTACACAGATTTTCTGATGGCTGGGACATTATTACGTTGGGTCAAGTGACCCCAACTTTGTACATGCTCAGTGAAGACAGACAGTTGTGGAAAAAACTCTGCCAGTACCATTTTGCAGAAAAGCAGGTAATAATCATTTGCATAAATGTGAGCCTCCCTTGCTGTGTGATACACAAATGAAGTGTGAACTTACAAGTGTGACAGCTTGTGAAAATGGTGCTTTTTATCTCTTGGTTTTTTTACGTGATTCATCTGAAAAATTGTTTTTGACAGGTCTGAATTTAGGGTAGCTATTCCCTTTATCCTAAGCTTTTTTTTTTTTTCCTATACAGTCCCAACAAATGTAGTAGAGGTGATGTTCTGCCATTTTCAGGATCTAGAGTAAAATTTGTCTTACTTAATCAAGATAGGCAGACAGAATTAATTGCTTGGACATGAAATTATTCTGTTTTATGTCTAACAGATTTGTTACTATGTGGTCAGTGACTGGCATTTTTTGCCATTTAAAAAAACACATTTTAAAAAATTAATTACAAGTATAGTTGGAAAGGTACAAACTCCCTTATGGATGACCCTAGTAAGAATTTGAGTAAGGAGAGAGGCTTTGGAGTGAGCATAATGGAAAATGTAGTCAAAGGCAAGCTGAGGGAGTGGGGGGAAGTTCAAGCTGTATGTAACAGTTGAATGTATTTTGAGGTTAGATGAAGTAAGGTGGTTTAAACAGTGACAATAGTTAGAGAGGAACCTGTTTCACTAAGGTAACATTGGGAAAAAATAATTTAAGCATTTCAGCATTATGAGCATAATGAACACTTCTGCACAGCTTTGTCAGTGCATTCCTAAATATTAACATTTTAATTAGGTTACTGATAAAATGAAACAAACTTTATATCAAATGCTGCTTTCTCTGAAGAGTGTGGTACCTTAATAGCTACAGAGTAGTGTTGGATTGCATAGGAGAGGAGAAATGATATATATGTTGAGCCATTTAAAACAACTACAATAAATTGTTTGATATCTAAAGAGCACTTTTGGGGAAAAAAAAAAAAAAAAGAAAAAAAGAATTCCACACAGGGAAGCTATTAGGAAATAAAGTATAACAAATCACAAAGGCAGTGCTGTTGTTTGCCATATGGCACTGTTCTTGTGAGTGAAGGAAGCACATAATGTATTAGCAATAATCCAAACTGAGTGGAATGTGAAGTCTTAACAAATGCTGTTATGCATTACCTACTCTTTGCATGCAGGTATGCCTTCAAGTAATTAATCAGTCACTGACTATTGCTGTGCTTCTAGAAATTTCATAGAATGTGAAAATAGTCATTTATGTCCTTTTAAAGATGAAGGAGTTGTCGAAATTAATACTTACTATCTTAATAAAAATGAATAGTAATCCACAATCACTGATGGAACAGGAGGGAATGGCCTCAAGGTGTGCCAGGGCAGGTTCAGATTGGATACTAGGCAGAATTTCTTTTCAGGGTGGTGGAGCATTGGAACAGGCTGCCAGGGATGTGGTATAGCTGCTGTTCCTGGGGCATTTAAGTAGCCCTTTCCTTAAGGGCATGGTTTGGTGTGCAGTATTGGTGGTAAGTGGACAGTTGAACTCAATGGTCTTAGAAGTCCTTTTTAAGCCTAATGCTTCTTTGATTCTCATTCCTGAGGTGTTTTTTTAAATGTATGAAATAAATTTATGCCTCTAAATATTGTTTTTATTATGTAGTTATTGACAATTATAATCATTACTGAGTAAGAACAGCTGTGTATGACCTATTTTTCTTTGCAAATCTCTTCCTATTTTTAGATTCAACTTTTTTTGTGGCTAGTTATCTTGCTACTTTTCAGAAATGTATGATGTCAGATTATTGACTTCAAAGAATTCCAATTATAACACTTCAGCTTCTTTTCTTAGTCCTTTACCTGATGTGACTGTTCTTTCACTATTTTAAAGGAATGTATTAATTTCATGTTCAGTTTTGTAGGCATTTGATTCTGTCAGAGAAGGGTCACATTGACTGGAAGCTGATGTACTTTGCACTTCAGAAATACTACCCAAAAAAGGAACAGTATGGAGACACCTTGCATTTCTGTCGACACTGTAGTATTCTGTTTTGGAAGGTAAGATCTTTGAAATACATAAGCAGAAATTGGTTCAAGCAGTTACTGATTACCTGAAAAGGAACATGAGATCACCTTATCAACTTCATGTGAAAGGTGATCAGTCAATTCATATGTAACTTTAAGTAACGTATAAAGCTTTCATATGAAATTGGTATTGAATTCCAGACTTGTTCTTTATTTAGCATTTTTCTCCTGACATCTGATAACCTTAATGCTTAAAAATTACAAGGAAAACTGTCACATGGAAAGAGCTGCAGTCTGTGTTGCACTGTATTTCTTAATATTATGCAAAGCTGCTTAAGACTTCTATGGTGTGACATTCTGTTTATGGCATCTCTTTCCTCATGATGGCATGGCAGTCAATGTAAGTGTAATAACTTACTCCTGTAGCATTCCTACCACACTGGTATAAAATTGAGTATCTTTGTAGTCTTGCTTCTGTCCCACGTGTAACCCTGAGGAATGTTTGAAACTTGATTCAAAGTACAATTATAACTGTGAAGCATTCTGTCTTGCAGGATGGTTTTTGTTTTGTAGAGCATTTTCCTATTTTGCTCTTACATGAACTGATAGTTCTGCTTTTACTTTCTGTATATGTACCATTATTTAGCCTTTTAATCAGTCAGGTGTCTTTAATTTTGCAGCTCAAAAACCACATACGTGTGGCGCAAGAAAAAAGTAAGAAACAGTTCAGGAATCTTAATCTTGAAATATTCATCTTCTGGTTCACAGAAATTAGTTACTCTTGTCCTCTTTCTGTAATTTTGTTGCATATCAGTGGTAAGCTTCATTTTCTGTATAAATAATGAGGTTGCTGAACAGGATAAGCAGCACAGAAATAGCATGGTACAGAGAATGTTGTTTTAAATCTGAGCATTCTTGACATCACAGGAGCCCTCCCAGTAAGTCTCAATGTTGTCCAATATGTAGGGCATGGGTGTCCAATCTCTTGGTTTGCCTAGGCTGCACTGATTGAAGAGGAATTGTCTTAGGCTGTGTATATGTAGGTAACTCTGAAAGTTAGGTTTGATGGCAGTAGTTTCAATTCTTAAGTTCTCAAGATTGCAATCAGATTTTTGATGAAATTTTTCCTGTGCTTCATCCTTAAAAACAATTGTTTACAAATGTATGTACTACCACAAAGCAGTGACGTGAATGACTGTGAAGAATATTTGTCTCTCTGAGATAGGGCTTACAGAAACATGTTGATCAGAAAGACACAATCAGATTTTTCGAGTTAAATATCTGATTACAACTCTGTATATTCTATTTGAAAATTTGCAGATAATACATTTATGTTGATTGGAAATGGAGTGGCAAAAATAACAAAACCTATATTCAAACTGTTTTATCACAATGGAAAAAAGATGCATAATTTTTGCCCTGAATAGGAATGTGTTCAGCCAGCATATCAAGGTCAGCATATAGTATATACACAAATAGTGGGCATTTCTGGTATCAGACTTGTTTGGGTTGTCTGCCTTTATTGTATGATGCTTTCTACAGTACATCTGTCTCATTCTGTTTTTAATACAGTTGGACATTTAGGGATGACTAAGTACTTGAAATCATTTATCATCAGAGGCCACATGATAGTAAGAGGCAGTGGATCTCTGCAGGCAGATATGGCCACCTTGACTGTTTCAGTTTATTGCTGGCACAGTAGCATCTTCTCTGTGGATTTGTATTTTTAATGAAACGAGAGTGAGCTGTTAAAGGTATTTTGGTTTGAGGAGTATCTAATTATTGATTACCTTTGCAATACTGACAGCCTCGTGCTGGAGATCTGGATAGGTCTGAGGTACCGTGTGGCTGTAGATTGATTTTTTAGATGATTCTGGAGCAGGTGATTTGGAACTGAATTATTACCCTGAGAATAGCAAAGCAAATAGCTTTCTTTGTGGGATTCATTGATCTGATTCATTGTGTCTTAGAGGAGGCATTGAAGAAGGGAGGGACGAATAGTTTGGGAGATGTGCCATGTCAGGAGAGGGTGGAGAACACCACTTCAGGAGAATGTGGGAGCCTGCCACAAGGACAGCCAAGCAAGGGAATGATTTGTCCAAAGAAGTTGAGCAGTTTCCATCCTGGAATTTTCTGGAGACGTGACTGTATAAAGGCTCTGAGCAAGCTGGACTGATTGCAGAGCTGGCTCTGCTTTGAGAAGACTGGAATGAAGACCTTCAGGCTCAATTATTCTCTGAGCTTGCATTCGGTTTTGGTTCTCCAGGTCTGAGATTCTAAGCCTTGAATACTTGATCAGATCAGCCCAGAAATACTTGATCAGGCTGGAAGATGGTTAGAAGAACTGATCTCTGCACAGTTGGTGCACTTATTGGCAGAGATGAGAGGAGGTTAAATCACTGCTCTGAAAAAAAATCCTCTGTTTACAGTGGCAAGGCAATGTGAGCAAAGCAGCACTAGCAGCATGGAATTGTATGGAGGGGAAAAATAGTTCTGCTTTTTCAGACACTTGTCTGTCTCTTTTCCCATGCTCTTTGAACAAGGATGAAAAGCAGAGTGCAGGGGCATGATGATGACATGAACAGACTGACTTCTGTCAGTTGTAGCAAAACTCTGTGCTAGGTGACAATATTTCTTAGTCGTTTCTGGCTTTACCAATTCATTCAAGCTTCAGTATCCTGCTTTATTATGCAGATTATAAAATGGACTGTCAGCTGCTCATATGCACAGACATAATGTACACACTTATTTTCAGCTGAAGCTTTTATTCTTAAATACTATTGGATGTATAACAAAAGAAAAAATCTTAGAAGAACAAGTCCTTTTGATAGAGGGAAAAGTAGCAAGCTTTTGAATCTTGAAACAAATGAAAACACTATTTAGATAGCTTATAATATAGGAACTTGGTTTCTTTTTTTCTTTCACTTGAAAAATCAGACAGTTTTTGCTTTCAGGGGCATTCAGAAGAACATCAGGCAATGAACTGAATGCTTTTTAGATTGCAGTTGCTTCTCCCCCTCCCCCAGTCAAGAACAAAGTAAAACACTGGGATAGTTGCAGAGGAAAATTCTGCAGGATGAAGATTAGAATTTCTTTTAACTTGGATGTATTAAAGCTAGGAAGGAATATAACTGTTCTCCATGAAGTCCTAGAGACAGAAGGGGTGGATAAATACTGCTACGTAGGGGAATTTAAGCTAAGTGGCAGCATTGACATAAGTTGAAGAAACTAGCCATGGGTGAGCTTATTCTTGAGAGTTAAGTTTCTAAGAACCAAAGCAGCAAGGTTGTGAGATAGCTATAGGTAGGCTTGTGCTTTGTTACTGAGAATAATTTGCATCAGTTTAAGAAATTGATGTCCTTCATTTTGTGTCCTTTGAAAGAAAGCTTTGCAGGAAAAAAAGAACTGAACTGGCAAGCAGTTGGATTTGGGAAGTAATCCTTTTTTCCATGTTTCAGTGTGTTACAGTCATCTTCAAGAGTGTTCAAGAAGCAGGATTTGAGGCATTTGAATTGCTGTATTTTAAAACTTCTGACCGTAGCAATGCTTAAAACTGTAAGGCGACTCCTAAATTCATCATACAAAAGGATCTGTTGTAATGGAGGGAATGACTGTAGGAAGCTTTGAGAAGTGTCATGTTAGCTTTGAGAAGTGAGGGTTTGTCCACACTAAGTGAACAAATGTGTGGTTTCAGTGCTGTAGAACTACAAACAAACTACTTATGGCCGGTAATACCTCTAGTGCCTTTTATGTACAGCATTTATATAAATGCTATTGTATATACTATTTCATACTGTGCTATTTGGTTCCACCAGGTAACACTGCCATTGTAATTTATCTTCTTAGCCAACTCAGTTTATTATAGCCATCTCTGGGGTAGCTGTAGAAGTTGAAATAACTCTTGCTTTTTAAATACTTCCAGTGTTATGTAACACTGTAATTGTGTTCTGTAAGTGATGTTTCATGCTTTGTTTTAGTCCTTCTTAGGGTTTGTGCTGACTTTTGGTTCTTTAACTGCTTGTGATTTGCCACAAGACAATTCTGAAGTGGCACATAAACCTTAGCTTCAGTAAACCTTAACTCTGCTTCTTTTACTTTATGGCTCTCCTTCCTGCTTCCTTGTTCACGATTTCAAAGGACTACCATCTTGCTTTGTTACTCAAGGTATTTCTTTCACGTCTCATCTGTTTTCAGTGCTCACTAGTCTGTAATGTGAATACCACGTTCATTTCTATTTGTTTCTTTTTTTGTTTGTTTAGCAGGAATGATTTTTTTTTCATGTCCCTATTAGATAAAGCAGTGGTGACTTTCATTCTGTTTTTTCATAATCTTTATTTTTCATTACTGCTGTATTGCTGTTAAAACTGGAGACTGTTATTCAGCATCTAATGAAAGTGTAACGTATTACTGAAATACACTAAGAAATAGTCTCATTTATTTTGTGTGAAACACTTATGTATCTAATTTGGTATTGAAATCTGACATCAGTAATACAATCCTCAAACATACTTTTAAACAAAGGTACTAACATAGAATAAAATCCACGTGGAATGCTGTAGTTACACATACTCTTATGAAAAGCAGTTCCCAAGACAGGGTACACAGGACTGAGGAAGGTGATGGAGACAATTAATGATGTTTTATCAATGAAGAGATGGTGGAAATAATTACTCAGAAAAGGACTAGCTCTCAGGTTGTCATGGGAGCTCCATAATTTGCAGTCATGATTAAAATCAGAGGAAGAAAACAATTACACTTGTCAGTAAACATTCTTCCTGGTGAATTCTTCTGTTAAAGCTAAAATAGAATTCTAAATTAAGCAGATATATTGAAAATCAATCTGACTTTAATTATTCTTCATTAGTGTTAGTAAGCGTAATTTCAAGGGAAAGAGTTTTTCGGAAAGAAATGGATGTGAAGACAGGATGCTTGTGATTCTTCTTTTCCATCCACATCATTTTGCTACTGTAGAATTAGTTTCCATTTTTAATAACTTAAATCAGCTCCTTGCTTTTTTTTAATGGAGATTGTTATTGGATCTAAAAAAAAACAGCCATAGAAGTATAAATAAGCCCTAAAGAAGGGTAAATCCTAACATCTTTCTCAGAAATCTCATTTTTATGATGTTCTGTTCCTGGAAACCAGGAATTTCTAGTCATAACCATGACAAGATATTAAGTATCATTATTAGAGGAGACATTAGCAACTACCTTAGAGAATGTTTTTCTGGCATAACATTTGCATGGAAGCTGAGCAGAAGTAGTACTTCCTTTCTCATCAGTTCCTTCCCTACATGGATTAGACTTCAGGTGGGATTGCCTGTTTCTTTCATTCTTTTTTCCCCATTAAGAGCCAGCTGCTCTCTCAATTAAATGCTACTAAAGCAAGTATTAATAGGTGTGGAAGGTCGAGGAGATGCTGCATGTTATTTTTGTGTAGTCATCTATACTTTTAATGAAAAAACACAGATAATGCATGTATGGAGTAATTTCCCTTTGGAAAAGCAGTGTTATTTCAAACATATGCTTGGCCTATTCCACTTTAGTATTGCAAGTCTGTGGTAGGGAGTATGACATGATTAACAAACTTATGTGAGGAAAATACCAAACAGGAAATGTTCAATTTCCAGGTTTTTCTATTAGATAAATTGTGTATAATTTCATTTCCCATGGAAATAGAAGGAATGAAGACTTCAGTGGTTTTTGACCTCCTCACTCTAGCTTTCTTGCCCTATGTGGCAAATTTGTTGACACTGGAAAAAGGAGAGAAGCCTCTTAAAACCTGGAATGACAACTTCTGAGCCTTACAGTGTTGATTAATCAAGATATTTGTTTAATCTCTATCTAACTTTGAACTGTCTGGAGCCATCTCATTACAACTCAATTTCATTCCTGTAAAGGGGTCCATGTAAGGTGCAAAATCAAACATTGAAATTCACCATAATTCATAACTGTCTGATTATTTGAAATTCATTGTGTTGGATTCAGTTTTCCAAAGTGTTAAAGGAAGCACGAGGTTAGGTGAATCTGTCATGAGAAAACCTCACTGAGAGTTGTTTACAAGGATGGATAGTGATAGGACAAGGGGGAATGGTTTTAAACTGAGACAGGGAGGTTTAGGTTACATGTCAGGAGGAAGTTCTCTCACACAGAGGGTGGTGATGCACTGGAACAGGTTGTCCAAGGAGGCTGTGGATGCCCCATCTCTGGAGGCATTGAGGGCCAGGCTGGATGTGGCTCTGGGCAGCCTGGTCTGCTGGTTGGTGACCCTGCATGTAGCAGGGGGATTGGAACTAGATGATCATTGTGGTCCTTTTCAACCCAGGCCATTCTATGATTTGACATTTCCAGTTCAAAAGCTAGTAGATTAAATTGGCCTTTCAGTGTGCTACAGAACACAATCTCTAGCCTTAAAGTAACGGCTGCACTTTTCCCAGGCTGTTTTAGAAAGCTGTGGTTTAAACTGTCATACCATGGGTTGAAGCTGACCCAGCTGCTTGTGAACTCTGCCTTCCATAGGGCAGCTCAGTTCCTTTTTGTTGTATGAGATTCCACATCTTTCCTTTATCCATTTTGAATGGCTTTGACTTAACATCCTAACATCTTGAATGTTAGGGGGAAGTTCTTCACAAGGAGAGTAGTTAGGCCCTGGAACGGGCTGCCCAGGGAGGTTGTGGATGCCCCGTCCTTGGACGTGTTCAAGGCCAGGTTGGACGGGGTCCTGGGCAACCTGATCTGAATATGTATGTTTGGTGGCCCTGCTAGGCAGGGGGGTTGGAACTACATGATCCTTGAGGTCCCTTCCAACCCGGGTGATTCTGTGATTTCTGTGCTCTCTATCACATCATGACCCATTGGTGTAATTTCATGAGACAGTTCCTCACTTTGCACTAATTTGTATACCCTGTCCACCTTCTTATAGCTGCCTAGGTAGAAAAGTGATTTCAGCTGGGGGAAAGATGGGAATGAAAGAGGAGAAAAATGTTGGAAAGAAAATGACAACTTCTGTTGGCCTGACCATCAAACATACTGCTCACTGCAGGGAGGTGCCTGTTGCCCTTCACTTGGAAATCAAGGAGCTTGTACTTCCCTTGAAGTAGTGGTTGATTTCAGTTTTTCATTAGAGTTAAATTAAACTCAGAAAAGTAACTGGCTCTTCAAATTGCATTTAATAAAAAATATATATATATATATTTTAACTCCAAGAGCTCCAACTCAGGCTCTTTTTGAAGGGAGGAGAGTAGGTTTTCCTGAGATCTGAAGCTGTCTAACAAAACAGGCAAATGGGAAAGGCTTGTTTTCATAAGAGTTCAGTGTAAAAGGTTTGTGCATGTGTGTAGAACCAGTTACTGAAAACGCAAGCCTCTATCACTTTGTTTACAGTGTAAGCAGTTGCATGTTGCTGTATGTGAATTTTTGCTTTCCTTTTTTAATTTAAAAGAATAGAGGGATCGTGGATATGAAGAGAAGCTTACATATTCTCCTTCATTTTGCAGGATTCGGGACACCCCTGCACAGCCAGTGACCCAAACACCTGCCTCACTCCAGTATCTCCTCAGCATTTCATTGATCTCTTCAAATTTTGAGATGCTCAGTAGCTGTTTTCCTGTGTTGTGGTCACTTTTTTTGTGAGGAGTCGGGCAGGACGTGTTATGCTATTTATGCAGTGTATTTGTTTTGTTGTGGCTCAAAATGAGATGGGGAGCTTATCAGGCAGGTGTACTTGAAGTGGTGTTTTTCAGCAGAGAAAAGCTGAGGAGAGGACATTAAGAACTCTTTGAAAAATCTGTTGATAATTTTAATCTCAATTTTAAATCCATTTTGATGCCTTAATAACTGGTTAAAATTATGTGAGGGAATTATGAAGATTTCATGAAGTTAAACTATCCTTTCAGGACCAAATGACTTTTGTTGTTGCTGATTGTTCTTCCTTCAGGCCACTGTTTCCAAAACATTTCCACGTAACTTGCACTGTTATAAAAAGCAGGCTAATAATTCCCTTGGAGTCAAACCAGTTACCAACAAGGCATTAATCATTGTGAGCTAGTGAATAAAGTGTAGCTGTGGGTGGACATACAAATAGAGGAAATTGACCAATTTTTATATATATGTTATGCAAAAATATTTATTTTCCTAAGAGGACTTTATTAAATCTGTAACCTATCTCAGCATATTCCATAACTGAAAACAGAGACGGGGCTACTGGAAGTGACTTCTGTACTTGTTGCTACAGCTTTCCTTTAGACTGCTCAGTATGTCTACAAATGCAACTGCATCAATTCATCTTCTAAGAAGAAGACAGCATTACTGGAATTTAATGACAGTGGAGTTGCCTGCTTCTAGACTACGGCAGGACACAGTGGGACAAACTGAGGCTCTAACCTGACTTTGCAAGCTGTGGAAATCTTGGAAGTTAGTCTGAGCAGGAGCACCTTCTGCTAGGTGAATCAGGAAATAAATTCCCTGGGAAGCATCTTATTCTAATCTGTAGTGCAAAAGGAATTGCCAAGCTTAAAGAGGTACAGGAAAAAAATTGCAGGAATTTTGGTTTTCTTGATGAAATTTAATCAATAAAAGGTAATGTACAGAAAAATAAAACTTACTCTATTCTGCAGTTCCTTGTTCTGAATCTAGTTTTGCACAGTGTAATAAATCATGTTTTTTATTACTCCTTCAAATCTGTCTTGCATTGAAATGAACCCATTTGAATTTTATAATAAGACTTTTCTATAGCCTGCTCTTGGTAGTAATTGGTAATGGAATGAGAAAAATGCAAGTAGTTCAAGTACTGTTGCTTTCCAGTAAAGACCGTATCAGCATTTGTTTGTCTAATGGGACAGATAGATTGTTATTAGGCTGTGCAAGAAGAAGAGAGTATTTATTTCCTTGGAAGATAGTTTTATTCACTAAAATTTCAGTCATCTACTACTCTTATCTACTGAGTTTGCTGATCATAAGATTTTCAACACAGGGATTTGTAGTTAATTTTCTTCCTATTAAGCTGTTTGCTGTGGTTATTGTGACTTTAAATTGTGGAGCTGTGCCATTCATTCATAAGAATGCTTAGCCTTGCAGCTGTTCAACCTGCCAAGGAAGCTGCAGCTCCTCTTTGTTCTTACAAATTGCTTTCCTGCTTAAGGGAGTATGTGTACCCTTGCAGTGGTTGGTGACTGCTGCTCATCAATCACTTCTTAAAGATGGTTAAGGTTTTACTACTCTTTGTGGACTTTCCTGTAAGAATCTATGTAACCACTCCCTGCTCACAAGAAAGGTCCTAACTAGTGCTGAGCTTTCCCTCTAGCATGCTTGTTGATGATCTCTAATCGAAGACCACCACCAACAGCATGTTACCTCCAGGGATGCTGAGGATGCCGGGAGTGTGTGAGAATTGCTGACTGGCTGAGGCTGACAGGGGTCCATCTGGCCCAGCCCTGCTCCAGCAGGGACACCCAGAGCAGGTTGTCCAGACCACATCCAGGATCTTTGGGAGATCTCCAAGGACGAAACTCTACAGCTGCTGGGCAGCCTGTGCCAGAGCTCTGTTGCTGCACAGAAGCGCTCCTGGTCTTTAGACAGAACCTCCTGTGCTCCAGTTTGTGCTTCTTACCTCTTGCTCTGGGCATCACTGCAGAAAGATCTTGACTTCATCTCTGCACACAAATAACAGAACAATGTACAAGAAGATGCTTCAGTCTCTCTATAATCTTTGTCTCTCCTTGTTGGGCTCTTTCCAGTATGTCCATGTTCTTCTTGTACTGAGGAGCTCCAGCAGTTAGGGTCACCATGCTCCTGCAACTTAGCCTGATATAGCCTGGGTCACGTTAGCCTCCTTGGAAGCAAAAGCATGCTGTTGGCCATGAGGTGCCTCAGCTCCAAAAGCCCGTAAAATGGCTTTTTGAACTTTTTTTTTTTTTTAATGTATTTGCTAACCTCAGAAACGGGAGATGTGCAGACATCTCAGAAGAAGCATTTAAGGGCAAGGCTATTACTCTTATTTTCTAATCTTATACAAAGAAGATATTGAGGGCAGAGTCACACTGTCAGCAGCATTAAAAGCTTTTAACACAGCAAAACTGAGCTTTGGAAGTAGATCTACAATCTATTTAAATATTTAGTGAGCTGTTTCTTAGGCACAAAAGCTTTGTTTATCACAACTCTTGGAGTTTCACACAATTGGTAATAGGTAATTCAGAATCCTGTATGTGGAAGTTCTGTAACCCACATGTAACAAACCAAGTTCTGCACAGCTTCTTAAACAGATAGGGAAACTCAGTGCCTAAGAAGGCACTCCAGAAGGGTAGCAAAGTCCAGCACCAAGATGAACTGAAAACTGTCTCAGGTGCTCCAATTTTGTTCAGAGAGAGACTTCTCTCCTGCAAGGCCAAGCATATAAACCTGGGATCTTGCTTCCTGCGTGCTTACAGGAAAAAGTTGAAGAGGTGAGCTCGTTTCTCTCTAAGTACATGAGAGTTCCTATTTTACCCCCACTCTTCATGGCTAAAACATTATTTTTCCAGATGCCTTGGCTCAGAATCTGCATTTGAGGTGTGCTAGCAGAACAAATCAATGCCATGTTCCACATCGCCCTGTTCAGCACCAGGCAGGGTGGGCTCCTCAGGGATCACTCCCCACCTGGGCCTGAGCTGCCCCACTCACCCTCTCTGGCCTTGTCCCATGGCAGCACCCACACAGCTGCAGAGCCAGCCAGTTTGGGGCACTGAGCCAGTGAGAAATCACTGCTTTTCGGGGTAATGTTCATGGAACCCTCCTTCCTCAGCCTTTTCTGCTGAACCTACTCCACTTGCAGAGAATCATTCATTTCCTCCAGCCTACACTCAGTTATTGGAAGGATCACAGCACCATGACCAACACACACAAAGGATCCAGTGCACACCCAGTGCAACCAAGTGTGCACTAAGGGAGTGTGTGCCACTAAGGGAGGGGGCTGAGGGACCACTCTTTTCCCTTCTGTGTGTTGGCCTTCATATCTACTTAAGGCAGGCAATTTAATATAAAGAATATCAGCATTAAATAAAAAAAACAATGCTTGGAACTAGTTGCTAAATTACAGCTCAGAATATTCAGGTATTAGCTAGCTCTGCTATTTGCTTTTGCCCACTGTGCTTTCAGCTGCAAGGTCCAGGTCCTGCTCCTCAGAAGATGGGAATGTAAATCCTACCCTTCTGCAAATTTCAGCAGGAGAAAGGTGACCTTCACAGCTTTTAGCACTGTACCCGAGGACAGGAAGGGTTCAGAACGTGGCAGAGGTCAGTACCACTAAGCCCATGCTGCCTTTGATTCTCATGGCCCGTTCCCTTTCAGGCACTAAGCTGACAGTGCTTACTTCCTGCAGGCTTATGTGCCCATTCCTCTGCAAGTATGAATAAAACACGTTCAGCTTTTTACTTGCTGTACTTGATGGGTAGTCACTGTGCCTTCAGCTCAAAGCCTTTCTTACAATTTCCAGGGTGAACACAAAGAGCTGCTACTTAATTCTAAGTTTACTGAAATACTTCAATTTTCAGATATGCTTTCCACCTGAAGGCTGTTTTTCTATAGTTTATAACCAAGTAATAAAAGAAGAATAATTTCACTTGCTAAAGCTTGAGGTACTTCCCTCCCTCCAGTGTCAGACCCCATTTGCTCTCAGACAAGGTTCTCTTTAGACCATTTACAACCAGATACTTTTCAAGCTGTAAATCTGTATTCCGTTTTCTAACTTGACAGTATTCCTTTAAAACTTTCTTAGTTTATCAAAATAATATTTTGGCAAAGGTACGCTTCAATATAATGCCAAAGTTCTAAAGTTGTGTGTAGCTGCTTATCAATACTTAGAAATATCTGAAAGGTCAGAGCCAAATGCATGAAGCCAGACTTTTTTTATGGTGCCAAGCAAGAAGACAGGGCACTGGCCGTGAATTGGAACACAGGAAGTTTCATCTGAACATGAGAAAGAACTCCTTTACTGTGAGGGTGACGGGGCACTGGAACAGACTGCCCGCAGAGGTGGTGGAGTGTCCTCCTCGTGAGATATTCAAGACTGGCTTGGATGCCCACCTGTACAACCTGCTGGAGGAAACCTGCTTTAGCAGGGATTGGACTCAATGATCTCCAGAGGACCCTTTCAACCATTTCCGTGATTCTGACTGCGCAGAGCATCATGCTGGGAGCAGGAGGGGAAGCCAGGCACAGAGCCATCAATTCCAAACAAGCCAAGTCCCAAGTAACACTTCCCAGACTGTCAGGTATACAGGTTGAAAGGCAGTAAAACACAAACAAAGCAGCAAAGTGACCACCAGCCTGTAATTCTTCCACTAAGGGAAACAAAAAAATATCCAGACATTAGTGAGGAATTATCAAAATCATGTGAGATACCAGAAAACATAAATGAAAGACAAATGCTGAAAGCCAGCCTAATCAATAGATTACGAGCACACAATGACCAGAAGTTAAATTAATGAGAAATGAGTTATGGGGAAAGTTCACTTGGACAACAACAAAGAGACAAGAATCAGAAAACGTCCCATACTTTCTGAGATATTCAAAGGGAATTTAATAACTGAGAGCTAAAGCAGAGAGTCACAGCCTGGCTGAGGTTGGCGGGGCTGTCTGGATCCATCTGGCCCAAATCCTGCTCTAGCAGACACCCAGAGCAGGGTGCCCAGCACCACATCCAGGCAGTTTCTGAAGCTCTCCTCCTGTGTTTGTGCCCACTGCCTTTGTCCTTGACACTGGACACAACAATAAAGAGCTCGGTTCCATCCTCTTTGCACTCTCCCATATGGGCACCGATGGGATGCCTGGAGCCTCCTCTCCTCCAGGCTCAACAGTCCCAGCTCTCCCAGCCTCTCCCTATAGCACTCCAGTTCCCTGATCATCGTGGTAGCACCCTGTGGACAAATTAAGTCTCATCTACAGAAATGGTAATGCAGATTGAATCTGGAGAAGTTCTTGCCATGGGTTATGCAGCACTAATCTTCAAGGCATCTCCATCCCTGAAAAGACAGCCTAGACACCAAGACCTACATCTTGTACCTGTGCACAGGGGACCTCCTTCCCAGCTGGTCACTACAGCCAAGGATTGTATTGTTTAATGGGAAAACCTGTTTTAATGGGAAAAGCTGTGTGAGCTGGGAGCTCAGCTCCTGCGGCATAACCTCATGGCCAGCTGCTTTGCCACAGCACTTGGCCCAGTAGGCAGCAGCATGACAGCCGTGCTGCACAGACATGGCAGAACAGCTCAGGAAACATGAGACAGCCGTGGCTTATCTTCTTGTTATAAAGACCCACCGGTGATATTTTCTTTTCCCTCCACCCAGCAGTGATTTATGAGAATTTCTTCAGCTGTACCAACAGGCACACAAAGGATTACAGGCACCACAGGGCCCAACTCCTGCTAAACCTCCGTAAATGCCTGTGACTACACAGAGGACTTTATATATATATATATGGCAGACAATAGGATTAGTTGTACCTTAGTCAAGCAATGGTACATTTAAAAATTGAATAAAAATTAAAATCACTAATTTTCAAATGAATCCTACGTAAAGTGTAACTGCATTCTGCAGTATGACTTCTGGCAGTTTTGGATATCTTGTGCTTCATCCTATCAAACAATAGTTTACTTCCTAATGGGAAGTGATGCTTGATTTGTTTTCCTTTGTTTGTCCTGTCAAAT